TCAGACCGCAGCTGGAGTACTGTGTCCAGTTCTGTGCACCGCACTTCAGGAGGGATGTGGACAGCATTGAGAGGGTCCAGAGGAGGGCCACTCGCATGATTAGTGGGCAGCAGGGCAGACCCTACGAGGACAGGCTACGGGACCTGAACTTGTTCAGCCTCCACAAGAGAAGGCTGAGAGGGGATCTGGTGGCTGTTTATAAAACTTGCCAAGGGAGACCAGGGGGCAATGGGAGAGTCCCTGTTCCCCCAAGCACTACCAGGAGTAACAAGAAATAATGGCCATAAGTTGACTGAGAATAGATTCAGGCTGGATATCAGGAGGCACTACTTCACAGTCAGGGTGGCTAGGAGCTGGAACCAACTTCCAAGGGAAGTAGTGCTCGCTCCTACCCTGGGGGTCTTCAAAAGGAGGCTAGACAGCCACCTAGCCGGGGTCATTTGACCCCAGCATCCTTTGCTGCCCATGGCATGGATTAGATGATCTGCTTAGGTCCCTTCCAACCCTACCAACTATGAAACTATGACATGCTGTGGGCACACCCCCACCAGCTCACAGCGGGCCGCACGGACAACTGGGCACACAGGAATATACTCACTGACTCTGCCCCTCTCTAGGCCCTCCTCCCTCATAATGGGGTGGAGTTGTTCATAAACTGGTTATGTTTATGAAGTCTTGTCTCTCCATATCTTCCATATCCTTATCTATGTGAATAGGGTGCATGAGCAAGGACCAAGGAACTATGCTGAGTGACCATCTCACAGAGAACATCATGGAACTTCACCGCATGTGTGTGGCTTGTTAGTGTGCTACAGAAGAAGAGTCACCAAGCAAAGGCTGGAGAAATACAATTCCTCTCTATAAATACACTAGTAAACATTAGAGAGGGAAAAAACCTAGTCAAACTAAGGACAATTTTAACAAAAGAGGAAATTTCTAAACATAAGTGGTTCTGAAACAGCTTTCTAAGAACATTAGGGGCAAAACCTAATTAGTTTCAAGAGGAAGCTGCCTGTGCTAGTAAGGGACTAGAAATGACAACACAAGAAGTCCCTTCCAGTCCTATGTATATAAGTAGGCTTTAAGACAGGGGTGGGCAATTATTTGGGCCCAGGGGCCACACAAGGAGTTTTGGTGAGTTGTTGCAGGCCAGGTCAGCCCCTGCCCCTCCCACCCCCATAACATCTCACCATAACTCCCAATGTCGGAGGGGCCCTTGGGCAGGCGAGGAGCATTGTTCACAAGCGAGGGCTGGCATGGCCAGGATCTCAGGGAGGGTTGTGGGGTGTCCCCTGTACTGTGGGAGGCATGCATGCATGGGTGGGGGCCTGCCAGGGTGATAGGTCCTGGGAAATGGCTGGGCGTGAAGAGAGGGATCGGGGGCAGCAGGGCAGACCCTACAATGAGAGGCTATGGGACCTGAACCTGTTCAGCCTCCACAAAAGAAGGCTGAGACAGGATCTGGTGGCTGTCTATAAACTGGCCAAGGGGGACCAGCAGGCTATGGGAGAGTCCCTGTTCCCCCAAGCACTAGCGGGAGTAACGAGGAATAACGGCCATAACTCAACTGAGAGTAGATTCAGGCTAGACATCAGGAAGCACTACTTCACAGTCAGGGCAGCTAGGATCTGGAACCAGCTTCCAAGGGAAGTGGTGCTCACTCCTACCCTGGGGGTCTTCAAAAGGAGGCTAGATAATCACCTAGCCAGGGTCGTTTGACCCCAGCATTCTTTCCTGCCCATGGCAGGGGGTCGGACTTGATGATCTGCTTAGGTCCCTTCCAACCCTTCCAACTATGAAACTATGAGAACTTTCAGAAGGTCACATACCAAACTCTACAGCGAGCCAACCCCACAACTGTGTAGGTAGATAAATAACAAGAGAAACCCTTTGACAATCCAAATTCTGCTCCAAGTGAAAACAGATGTGGCCACCAACTGCACTCCTTCTCCCCTGCCTCCCTGGGGTGCTTCAATAGTGCCACAATGGCATGCAACAGCAATGCTACCCAGCCAGGATACATGACGCAGGGTTGCTTGGTTCTCCAGCACCCTCAGTGCTATGCCCCACCCCCATGCCCCCAAGGGTGGGTAGCCAGTGAACATTTTTTTTGTGTGCCTGGCTATCCTCAGGGACCTAAAGAGGCAAAGAAACCTGCAAGGAAAGCTTCTCTCTAGCCCCCTGGCTGAAGAGCTGGAGTCCCTGCAAGTCTTGGCCTCCAGTCTCTGAAAGAGATAAGAGAGAGCAGAACCCTGTTCAACCAGGGGGATGTAAAGATAGATTACTTGTATGTCTCTTGGTTTCTGAAGGGCCTCAAAGAGAGCTATGCATACAGGATCACCCATTGACTCTGCCCTGGTCTAGGCCCTCTCCCCTCACAGCTGGGTGGAACAGAACAGGGGTGATACTAAAGGACTAAGCACCACCCCACCCCACCCCCAACTGTGCTCCATGGAGAACAGATACATTTCAGGAGGCACTTTAGAAAAAAGTGTTTTAAAGATGCTCCTCAGATTTTTGAGGATCACTTCTGAAGCATTTGGCCACAAACATCCAAACACTTGCTGTTTGGAGCACTTCCAAGCATAGACCACCACTTCAATGGTTGCATCTGTGCAGGGCCCCCATTTGGTGTGGGCAAATCTACCGTTCATGTTGCCATGAGTGAATTGAGCAGAGCCAATTAGATGCTCAGCTCACACTTCCTTCTGCATTTGGATCCCCAGGTTACTGACGGTTATGTATGTACAGGTTCCCCAACCATATCTGAGCAATTGATGGAAACACATTTCAGTGCTTCAACCTTCTAACAATGGAAAAAACCCTTTTTCCCTGTGTGCTGTAGGCACTATAGACAACTGTGGGAGGCCAACACGCGTCAGTGCTGGAAGGTAAGGTAACTAGCATGCAAGAGCTATCTACAACTCTACCTTGGTTTTTTTGATGAGACAAGGATCGCTCAAATGGAAACACCAGCACCATTTCCCACACAGATATCAAAGGTATCATCATTCCCCCACTAATATGCAGAGGTCCTGCCTATGTGTTCCTGCCGTGGATCAAGAAATTGTGTGCTGACACTATCACAGGACAGAAGTGTTTAACTACTAGCTAAATAGCTTCAGGACAACACCAGAACTCATTTTGAACTTCTCAAAGTCAGGTGCACATTGCCAGGAGTTTGGTGATCTACAACATTCTGCAGCATTTCGAAGAGAACAAGTTTGGAAGCCACAGTGAAGGTTTGGTGGTGGCAGTCATTAAATTTGTGCAGTAGTCAGAATCACCTGAGCCACTTGTGCGTAGCCACAACCCCCAGCAACATCAAGATGTACAAGACAGATTGACCACCTACTTGAAACAGGGTGCAGGAAGATAGGAATAAATTGCTGAGACAGATGCAAATTTGCAGCATTTATTTGAGTTTCCCCATGGGGAAACCTGACTGCTGGTCCTCTATGCACCTCCCCAGCCAGGGTAGGAAGTCAGAGCGTGCTTTCCTACGTGCCTGGCTATCCTCAGGGACCCAAGGAGGCCAAGAGGCATATAAAGAATCCTTCTCTCCAGCCCACTGGCTGAAAAGTAGGAGTCCCCACATCCATCTCAGCCTCCACTCTCCTGAAGAGACCAGAAAGTACACAGCATAGGGCAGGGGTGGGCGATTATTTCAGGTGGAGGGCCGCTTGCCAAGTTTTGGCAAGCTGTCAAGGATCGCATGGGTAGCCCCACCCCTTGACAGGTGCCCTGCCCCCTGGTCACCATCTTGTGACCGGAAGTCCCGCCTCCTAATGCCTGCACACACACACAGAGCCCATGCCTACACACACACACACATACACACACACACACACACACACAGAGCCCATGCCTGCACACACACACAGCCCGCACCTGCACACACACACACAGCCCATGCCTGCACGCACACACACTGCCCGTGCCTGCACGCACACACACACACACACACACACGCGCGCACACACACACGCACTGCCCATGCCTGCACACACACACATACTGTGCTCTGTTACTAGCAGGGGCTTGAGTAGCAGCTAGGCAGCCTGCAATGCCAATTAGGCAGAGTGGCCTGATTGGGGAGCAGGACCCAGCTGTGCTCTATAAGAGCTGAGCCCTGAACTGCAAAAAGGCAGCAGTATGCTGCCAGCAGCAGGGAAGAACACCACCCGGCTGGGCTGCCACTCAGAGCAACATCTTGGAGGTAAGGTAAGGGCTGGGGTTATGGGGAAGGAGGAAGCCCCATGGGTCTGGGCATGGCCAGAAACTGCACCCTGCCATAGACAAGTGGCGTGGTGGGACTCTCTGTGGCGGAAGAGTCCCCCAGAAATGCCAGGTCAGTTACTGCCCCAGTGAAAGGCGAACATGAGGAGCCTCCTAACCCCAGCCCCACACATCCCTGGTGGATGAGATCAAGCAGGGGGAGCCCAGACTCACTGAAAGTACTGAGACAGGGCCCAGGTCGGTGGAGGGACCTGTGGCAGCACCCAGACTCTCAGTGGAGGTCTGAGGCTGCATATAGGAGCCAGGGTGAAGCTCCACGGGGTGGGGCCTTGAGCCTTAGGGAGCTATTAAGGAAGCTTCCAGGTCCAGGGATAAGGGGATAGCCCAGGGAGGGCTTTAGGACAGGGCTCAGAGCCCTAATTCCTAATTAGTAACATCAAGGCATGGCAGGTCAGGAGGCAGGTGGCTGGCCCCAAGACAAGTGGGTGGGCCTACATTTAGACTGGCCCCAGGACACCCATTTGTTACAGATGCCCTAATGTTAAGTATTTCATTAACTGCCAACTTCTATAAGAACTAGGATATTTATATATTACTGTTTTCCCTATGTAACAGTTATATTTTTTGACTTAATAATAGTTGTATTCTGTTCTCAGTAATCATGAGAGGAAAAGAATTTCCCACTCTTGATAAGATATGTTTTAATTATTTTTAAATTCTACATGCAAATTAAAACTATTTATAAATAAGATTTTCATTACCAGCAAGAATTTCTAATGAGTTGTATCCTAGGATTCTGTCCCATAAAAGTAGGAGTTGGTCTGTTGCTAAATAACCAGAAAATGCTCGTACCATCCATTTAAATGATATTCGTAGTCTGTAATTGGAAGACAAGTAAAAATTACACAATCTTAGAAAACAAAGTTGGAATGGACCTCAAGAGGTCATCTAGTATCTCTCTTGATCCCAAGGCAGGACCAATGATATCAAAACGATTCTTGAGAGAGATTTGTCCAACCTATTCTTAAAATCCCTCAATGGGAAAGATTCCACAATCCAGTTGTGTACCCACCTTAACATAGCTTCCTCTAGACCAGGGGTGGCCAGAGTTACTCACCCTGGGAGCCACATCTCCAAAGCCAGAGTGTGGGGGGGAGGGGAGGGGAAAGAGAATGTGCTGAGCAACTTGGCATGGCTGCAGAGCAGGGGCGGAGGGGGAGGTGCTGGGCAACCTGGCAAGGCTGCAGGGGCCGCCTTGGGGAAAAGTGGGTGGGACTTTGGCGGAGAAGCCCTGGAGAGCCACAAGAACCATGCTGTCAAGTTGCATGCGGCTCGTGAGCTGCGGTTTGACCACCATTGCTCTAGACCATATTTCTGATAAGAAAGTTATGGGAGACCATGACAAAAAAATCACTAAAAGGTGAAATATAGTGCATCACCTGATTCTCCTTTATCTGTAATGGCAGATATTAGGTCATAAAAAGATATCAGGCTGGTTTAACACTATTTGCTTTAAACCAGTCTACATTGCATGATTATTTCTCCCAGTATCTTTCCAGAAACTGAAGTAAGCCTATTGGGTGTGTATGTTCCTGTTGGTCCTCCTCCTTTCCCCTCTAACAGAGAGCAGGGTATGTATTTGCTTTCCCAGTCCTTGGAACCTCACCCATAAACCATGAATTCTTAAACACCACAATCTCAGGATACTTCATCCAGTACCCTCTCACAATACAGTAATTAAAAGTACACTATTTTAAAATTCTATAAGCTGCAATGTTCTTTATGTTTGTTTGTTTTTTAAGATTTCTACTACAGTATTTCTCAGCAGCTCTAATCAAGGTCTGTAGATGCTCATCATCTTGCATTATAGGGCACTATATCATTTTTAAACTTTGTTTCTTCCCTTAAGTTTCTAGCAAACAGATCATCATCATCAATATTACAGTGGCATCTAAAGACCAACTATACTGAGATCTGATTCTGCTAGGTGCTGTCTAACTATTGTAAGAACTGATAATCTTTATCAACCTAAATACTGTAGGACAAATCCCAATTTGTAATGTAAAGAAATCATCTGAATCCCAGGAAATACATCTAGCTTTCTCTAGCAGATCTGGCAGAATTACTAAGTAATGAATGGCTGGAAAATACAGTAATTCCTGCAGACTGGAAGAATAGCTTTCTGTTTTATTTTATAATGTATAGATATATCAAGGGGGAGACTTGAAAGCACATAATAAAGTTAAACACCGAACTCCAACTGATTTTCAGTAGCAACTGGGAAACCTACGTGATATTTGTGCTTTTACTCTAACCATAACTATTAGATTAAAATACCAAAGAACCTCATTTCCAGAACAATATAAGTTGCACTGATTGTCATAAGCCAAGGTTCACATTGGGAGCAAGTACTTACGGTTGCGCCCCAATTTCTCGAAGATGGTAAAAGAGTTGTGGGAGATGGGTTTGAAGAAGGGTCTCAAACAGCAAGCATAACGACACAATTCCCTAGCAAAACATCATCACATCCTGAAAACACATTTTTCACTAAAAGTTTTTCCATTGTAAAGTTTGATAAAAGTATATCTGAGTATAAATACAAATGCGTATTAATTTAAGCAGTAAGACACAATATTAATATGTCATAACTTCACAACTAGATCATGATATCTTCAATTGTTGAGGCCTTGATCCTATAAAAGCAGTTCCATATGTGAATAACTTTATCATATACATAAATAGTTCCATTTTTCTCCGAGTTACTTGCATAGGTTTATATGGTCAAGGTCTAAGTGTAGTAATAACCTACAATGAAGTATTTTTATTTTGATAAAATACTCGTGCTAGTTGCTACACTTGATCTTATTCAAAAAGACATTGACAAAAATAGGAATTCTGTGCATTATCTTTGATAATCAGCAAAACAGGCAAGATACATTTTTAAAAGAGAAAGTAGGTCAATTTTTTCTATTATGAAAATTTCCTTATTAGCATGAGTACAGGGCTACCATAAAGTCCCAAAATATAGGCCCAATCTGGCAAAACTGCTATTAGGCAGAACAGCTATCACTAGGATAGGATAAGTTACCTATCATTTGTCTCTCAGTATACTTTGCCTTCATTTTTATGCCCAAGTGTAAGTTTGCAGGTTTAGGTCCTAACTCCTTTTCAGCAAATTATGTACTATCTATCTAACTATGTTTATTAACTATCTATTAATGATTAACTTTATTAACTACCATATTCATCTGCATACCATGTCACGATCTGGAGAAGCTTGTTGTTCTTAAACGCTTTGCTTGACAGTTTATACAGGTAAGAACAACCCATTATTAGCAGTCTTTTCAGACTTCAATGCTTAAAAAATTCAGCATTTTTATCCTGAAAATATGTTATCAAAAACTAAGAAAGCTTTTTTGTGAAAGAGAAAAGAAAACTATTATACTTTCTGTAGTGTGTATAATATTAACTAGTAAGTATGCAGCAACTAAAAAACTTTCACAAGTTGCTTCTGAATGTCTGAACACAAAACACTTACACAGGTCAGTAACAAAATTTACATAAATTTCCCTTCCCATAGAAGCACTAAAAAGAAGTGTACGCAAGCACACAAAGATGCTCTAGTTAAAGAAGAGGCTAAATTGAGGCATCATTGAAAATCTGATATGTAGACTACAGTGGTCAATTCCTAGAAGGCTCTTTGTTATTAAAGTATTGTAATCACAAACACAAAATAAACTGAAATGGAAGTCAATCTTTCACTACCTCTCGATATCTCATGCACCTAAATGGATCAGAAAGCACTTCAGTAGTAAATAAGTCTCTGACTTCTATATGAATCTTAAGAATGTGTCCTGAGTTCAGGACTTTATTACACAAAAGAAACAGCTCCCCCAAAATCTTAAAGCATTAGCATTATTAAGTTATGTTTGTCAGAGAGTTTATTATAGAGACATCTGAATAAAGCTACAGAATGTTACTTCAGGCTTGCTTACATTTTTTATTACATTTAAAATAGGATATTTCTCAGTAATGCGTGCTTAAGAAAAAGAGATCATGTTAACTTACATTATTCAATAGCAACTAAAAATAAAGTCAGATTTGATCTTATTTCCTAATGAACTTACAGAGGGGTGAGAAGAGATGGAATGGAGTCTGAAGAAAAAACGCACATACATCTCACGGAATATCTGATACAATTTGGAAGGTTCATGGTACAGAAAACAAAGTGGAGCAACTGAAAGGATAAAAAAATTGAATTGACTCAACACAGCAAACTGCTAAAATATTCAATGATAAGTGCATGAAGTATGAGGAAAATAAGTCAATAATATTTATAACAGTATAATATGTACATTAGTTCTGAATTATTTAGAAAGGCGTGTTTATTTTTATATTTGATTCTATCATTTAAAAAAAAAGGTGGATTTGTATACCGTAAGACAACTCCATATACGTCATATAGGTAAAAATAACTGGAGCCTGCTTATTCTACAGCTCTGGATTCATGAGCATCAAAAATATGATTTTCTAGCAGTGAGGACATCAGCTTCAGACTCAAGAGATCTGGATTCAACTATCTATCTATGTAATCTTTGGCAAGTCGCACACTCTTTGTCTCAGTTTCTCTGTAAGCTGAAGTCTATAGTACTTACCTACTGGAAAGGGACACTGTGAGGATTAATATATTGAAGACTGAGTTACTCAGAAACACATTGTCACTATGAGGATGCTAGGAAGAGAATCATCCAAGCAGTACTTTTAATTAAAGACCCAGATCCTCACATCCAACCTTGGATTCCCTATTTTGCTGATCAAACAGTGAATTTACATTCGGTACCTTCAATAAACAGCAGTAGTACCCCTTGAAGTTTTCTTGCCATATAATGACCCAATTTACTTCTCCACTTTGAAACAAAGAAAATTATTTACTCATCAGTAAGAAAACCCCCAGAAACTTCACTAGATCAGAAATAAAGGCCCCTGTTATTTGAACACACCTGTACCAACTGCCTTGCCATGACTGAACAGTGATGGCTTTTTTCCACAAAAATATAGAAATCCTTCTTTTCTAGAATACTTGTATATAGAACACATTCTTTTAATCTTAATGATTTTGATCATCTGGATGTCTACACAAGACACACTAATGCGGTAATGGGAGAGAACTCAAAACAGCTAGTATGAAGTAAAAGTATATTAATTACTCATTGCATACACAAAACTCATTCTTTTAATTTCCTCTTTGCGGTTTAGTCCTAAGTATTCCTCAATATGATGCCCCTCACCAGCCATACATGTATGCCACTTTTTGCACAAGACACTTTTATGAGAAAACATTCTTCACATTGTTCTTGTCTGCCCAGGAGGAACAATGCACAGTGAGATCACATTTTCTTCTGAAACAGTCTCCCTTTATTCATGTATCTTGAACCTCAATCGCTGTGAGTGAAGCTGGAGACCAACACTCAGATAACTGTTATCTGAAAAGAGATGCCCTACATACCAATGAATTATAATATTAGAAAAGAAATCAGTCTTGGAATTTTCATAATCACACATGTGTGCACACGCACAGTTACTTGAACTAAATATTCAAATGTTTAAAAACTGATAAAGTAGTTTATCAAAATATACGTATAATGACACAAAATGCACTGCTATTTATGGGAAAAAATCTGGAACAAGTACTTAAAATATTAATATTTAAATTGTACTTACCATACATTGAAAAGCCATGAAAAGGAATTACACCTACAAAACAAGGTTGCTTATTTTATCTTTTATTCTTTTATCTCTGTTCATCCATACAACAGTTTTTTCCAGCTCCCACTGTGTACTTGGTGTTTCATGGGAACAACTCAAGTCATGTTACCTTCTCTAAATACTGCAGACAAAATTACAATTGAATCCAGCACGCACCTACACTTACACTGCCAGAAGGTTATTCAACTTGGCCAGGTAGTGGCACTTAGGATCCCTACCTAGACAGTAAATGGGAAGACACAAGCACCTCCAGAAAGCCAACTCACGGGTTTTTTCATGGTCTAATTAGCTCTGCAGTAAAGTCTCAGCATCCACATATGTGACTATTAGGCCACAGGAAATGAATTAACTTAGCTGTAGTTTAGTACTCATAAATACAAGTACTACCTTGTGGCAGTGTTTTTTAACGTGCAGCAATGTATGTGTAGATGCTGACAGGACTGGCTGAGGCACAAGGCTGCTTCAGCATAGAGCTGCATGCTGGCTAGCCCTGCACTACAGCACCCTCGTACCCCAGCCAGCCCCTCTGCAGCATGTTGAGCCAGATTGGAGCAGCCCCATGCTGGCAGCTGGGCCTCCTGCCGACCCTTGAGGCCTCCTGCCAGCCAGCTGTATGTGCTAGTCCCAAGATCACATGAAGATGCTGCACCTGGGAGCAATAAACTCTGGTGTGATACATGCCAGTGCCAGAGTTTATTGTTCTGTGCTAACAGTATGGGTAGATGCTCCCATGGTTACATGACTAGGTGCTTTGAACCAAGAATGGGGATAAAGAGGCATCTGCAAAATGTAATTCAGGGAAAATGTTGCCATACAGGGATGCATTTGAATTCCCATCCTCTCAAGAGCTTAGATGCGTGACTTGCTGCCATTAGGCGCTTAATACCTAGCTCAACTTCGGTGGACAAGCACCTAACAGACCGAGTGGCAGCAACATGGGTTCTGGACACTGGTCACAGAATTATGTGTTTTTTAAACAATGACCATACCGCCATTTAAATATACAATGCACAGAGCTTTGGCAGCAAGTACAGGACCCTAGCATTTCTTCTCCCAGAGCAATGATGTAAGCACCAAACTAAACAGACATGTGCTTTCTTGTTTGCTCTCCTTCTGGCCTGTCACTCTTAGCTGACTAACAGCTAGGCTTGCCAGGAGGGGTGGAGAATCTATTCTATTAACCTGGGTTAAAATTCACTCAGGGTGAGGAGGGCCTAGAATCCAGATTTCTCACTCCCTAGGTGAGTGATATATAACTAGTACTATAACTTACAACAGATAAAAAGGTGGACATGACCACCTTTATCTTTTCCCCTTGAACCTGGTCACTGGGCAGGCTCCTCATTTTTTAGCTGAAGTCAATGCTACTGATGTATGTTAAATGTGCTGCATGTACACCTACTATACTGTACCTCTTCAGGGACTTGGGCAGAGTTTAGGTGCACCCCAGCAAGAATATGAACTTCAAGAGCTTAGGTAGTTTTAAGTGCTACAACTAGATTTCTTTTGAACATGCTCAGGTTTCCCATGGTAGACACCTAGGGCACTCTGCAGTCCAAAATGTAAACAATTAATTATTCTAGGTCCCATTTAGACACATTTAGTCATCCATGCAACTAATTTAAAACTCACATGGTTAATCTGAGCATGGGAGCAGTCCTAGTTGCTTCAATGGAATTACTTATTTGCTTAAATGTTAAAGCTATACTTAAATGTCTCCAAGATCAGAGTAATGCCCTGACTCAAAAGTTCTTAAGCACATACTTTCTAGCAATCACATCTAACATAATCAGGATGAGGTCACACACTAACAATGAGGCAGCAATAGGAGAAAAAGAGACACGATTTTCAATAATGAGTTCATGGACACCTCTGCAGTTGCATCATGTCAGTTTTCCACTCCTTTCCAAATCATCTTAGTTCCCCCTAGATGGCTGAGGAATGATTTAAGGGATTTTAATGAAGGGCAATAGCTGTTTTGGCAAATGAGATTAAGGAGGATGCTTCATACTTAGATGGCTGTGTGGAACAATACCGAAGTGGAAGAAGAGGGCCAAGAGTATGTGCTGGGGCTGGCAACATTGCCAGAACAGAGAAGACACAGAAGAAGACAAAGTCAGAGATACAGACAAAAGATCAATGATGTAGGATCTTGAAATCAAGGACTAAGGAGCTTAAACATGATATAAAATTCAATAAGCAGCCAATAAAAGGACTCAAAGGGGTGGGGAACTTTTCTGCTAAGAAAATAGATCAACTGCTGCAGTAACAGCAACATCAATACCATTAATTTGAAAATTATATGCATAGATTTACCTCTAAATAAAAAAAAGTAATAACATGCTTAGTGAGAGACTTGGAGTGCTGTAGTCACGATGGTCCAAAAAATATATGGCAGGCAAGAGGTTTTTGTAATATCTTTTACTAGACCAACTGGTATAGAAGTTTGATTAGCTTTCAGGCACATACTGCTGTGAAAGCTTGTCAAACTTCTATCCTAACTATACAGTTGGTCCAATTAAAGACATTACAAAAAATCCTTGGTTAGTATACAGTTTGGTACCTTTATGGCATAGTTTCTAAAAGTGCTAAACAGCTGGTGATGGGACAGGGAACCCATCTTGTTCCTTACTTAATTGAAACCAGGATCAAGAAGTGAAATATGAGCATCCACACATGCTTTAGGCCACCATAAGATTCCCCAGTCCTCATGTAGGTACTGAAGCCAGATTTAATGTACATGTGCTTTAGCCTGTCTGAAGATGCAGCCCAATGCTCAAGTTCATTATAGTATAGCTTTAAATTAACAAAGCTGTCAGAACCACAGTCAAACGTTAACTTAAATATTGGTACTGTTTTCTTTTTTATTGTTGTAAGAAGCTGCAATATTCCTAATCTCCCACTAGAGGAGGCTATAGTATAACACTTACCACTTGGTGGGTAAAAAACAGCATATTCTTCCATTCCAAGTTTTCCTATAAATAAGTATAGGAGTGTTTAAATATGATTTAATGGTAAAAAAAAACCTCATTTCAAAATGTGAACTTTGTTTTTCAGGAACATAATCACAAACTTCATAAATAATGGAATATCTTTTCATTTTATATCATCCCAAAATGTGCAAGGCATTTCAAAAGAAACAGAAAACTGATATTTGTTTTCCTCCAGCATAAAATGAAAATGTTACACAGCAAGGAAAAGTAATAAATAGCACAGAGGATCGGAAGCAATAGTACTTCAGCAATAACACCACTGAACATAGACTGTGGACACATGCAGGCATACATCTTAAGTGATTCTGTAGTTTGGGGATTTTTAGATAGCAAGTGTATTATCGATCCACTCTCTGTGTGGACACTGCAAACACAGTTGGCATCTTCAAGGGATAAATCATGAAGATGGGCATGCTGAAGTAGGCCAGATGCAGAAGAGTGTTCTAAGACAGAAGTAGAGCATAAGAAAATGCAAGAATGTTAGAGGGAGAAACAGACAAATGATGCATTAAGGCTGGCATTACCGAAACAGTGGACAAAGTGAAAATAGAAGCATGACCCAATTGGAATTTTAAATGATCTCTGTAATTTCAAGTCTTACAATTTATATACTTTATATAAAAGGTTTTAAACACAACGGAACTGATTTTAAAAGATGTTCTGAATTTCTTTCTATAGTTTTAGGATATGCAAGAATATTAAACTAGAACAGAGATGACTGTTGCTAGTTATTAACAACAATGTTTTTTAAAGCCTCAAAAAATTATCATTTGTGATAAGACAAGGATCTGTGAATCATAGAACTTTTTATCAATTGATCATTGTATTGTGTAAATTCAATACAACAGAATCTCCTGCAAAAAGAGGAAAAGATTTTTTTGTCAAACTCAGAAGGAAATTTAAAATACCTAGACTTAAAGTATATACATTTATTGTACTAAGGAATCAATAGAATTAAATGGCTAAGACCGCTAATCAATTTTTATTTGTTGCCTATATATATATATACACATATATATATATATACACAT